CCCCCATTTGCGAAGTGGGGGCATCTGGGGGAGCCATAATGCCTAGATAGAGCGGGGCCAGCCCCCTCCCTCTATCCCCTCTGTAGCCACCCCCATGGGGACCTTGTCCAGGTTCATGGGGGGCCTTGGCTTCCCAAACATCCTGCCTCCAGGGCATGTGGGGCTGCTTCCCATGAGCTGCTGGCTGGGAGCTGCAAAGGTGCCCCATGGCAAGGCATACCAGCTCTCTGGCAACACAACAAGTCTTTCTCCTCTGTGTGGTAAAGGGACGAAAAATGCTGCTGAGACACCTTGCTCCTTCCCAGGGTGGGCGAAGCCACCAGGCGCCCATGTACCCCTGTACCCACCTCAGCTTCAGGTTGTGTTTCACCCTCTCTGCCTTTTGCTCCTCATCTCCGTCTTCCCCCAAGACTTCACCATGTTTTCCTCCACTTGAGTATCAGAGGGATGAATAGTTGTACCTTGTGCCAAGAGGCAGCCACTGCAGCCAGGACCATCAAGAAGGGACATGGGGACGTTGCATCGAGGATGCCTCCAGACCCTCACGGTCCTGGCGCTCCCGGGGTGCAGTGCCTTGGTCACCCCAGGCCCGCCGGCCCCAGCAGCGGAGTGGAGCACACTCACAATTTTTTTTGGCACCGTCTTTAATAAGAAGCGTGGAATATTTTAGCACCTATGGAAAAGCCACCACAGACGGTGGTGGCAGCCGTTGCCAGGGAGACGCTCCCAAAAATAGCCCCACTCCGCCAACCTTTCCCGATGCTGCTGTGGGGATGAGGGAGGCAGAAGAATGGAGGGATGGAAAGGTGGAAGGATGGAGGAAAGGACGGAAAGAGAGATGAAGGGCTGGGTGGAGAAGAAGGAATGGAGAGGTGGATGGATGGATGGATGGATGGACGGATAGATGGAGGGAGGGAAGGAGGGAGGGAGGGAGGGACAGGTGGATAGAGGGGAGCAGGAGCTCCTGGGAAAGTGGGCAAGCACTGTGTGACCCCTCTCCTCCCTGGGGAGGAAGACAAGAGCAACCCCCATGCCAGCAGCCCCTGCTTGGGCACCTGCCAGGCTGCCTTTGCCATCCTCCTCCAATTGTCCCATCCCTGTACCCTGTCCAGGACTGCCCAGCCAGCCTATCCTGGTCACACTGCAGAGGTGTTGAGAGACAGAGGTGACCCATGGTGCTCAACCCCGCCATCTTCCCCAGCCCCTCTGTGAGTCCTGAATCATTTCTTTCTCTGGGACCACACTGGGATGAATCCCAGGGGCTGTCTGCCCTCCTGGGGGGTCTGGATGCAGCCTGAGCCACAGCCTGCAGCGGAAATGGAGGGGGGCTCCTGGCCAAGCACCTCCATAGCAAAAGTGTGGGAACCTTCCTGGTGGCGGGAAACTAATACTTTAGGGAGAAGGAAACCCCCTTTGCACCTCTTCTCATGCCATGGCCTCGCAGGACAGGCAGAGGTGGGGATAAATGTGCTCAATGGATCTGCTGCCACCTGTCCCAGGGGCTCTGCAGCAGAAGGCGCCTCCTAGATCAGCAAAGGCAGAGAGGGAAACCCAAAAATAGAACCAAAGGGAAAAAAAGAAACCAAAGAACCCCAAATTCTCATTTTTAATGCCAAATCCCAGCTCGCTCGCCTCCCTGTCACCCTGGCGATATTCCTTATGGTCGCCATGGAAACAGGAGGCATGGAGAGAGCATCACGGTGCGGAGCAGTGGCAGCACCCGGCATTATTTCGGGAGGCAGGGAGACACCCGGTGCAAGGCGCTTCGTGTTGTGGCAGGGAGGGAGGAGGGAAGGTTTATTTTTACTTGCTCCCACATCATGTGCCAGTTTTTCCCTCCTCTAAGAGCCTGGGTGCCCCTCGCCCTCCCAGCAGCTTTCCCACCTTCCTCCTGAGTGCCACACAGGGATGTCCCATGGGAGACCCTAACCCCACCACACTGCCCAAGCTGGGCGAGCTCAGTTCGGCTGCTCCCATGCAGTCCCTCTGGTGGTCACCTCAGCTGGTGGTTCCTGGCGGTACAGCAGGAGATAACACCCTGGCTTGGAGCCCATCAGCTCTTCTTGGGAAGGCACAAGATGAAGAGAATAAACCTTTGCCACCCACAACAGTGCTACCCATCCACAGGAAGCTTCATCCCCTGAGTGGGAAAAGAAGCTGTGAAGAGGGTCAGGAGGTTGATGGGGAGGTCTCAGACATTGCACCCAAGGAGCCTGGCAGAGAATCTGTCAGAAGAGAGAACTCTACATCTCTTCATTCTCCTGAAGCCTCCCATGCCTGTTCCACTGCTCAAACCAATTTCTGCCCACCTGGGAAAGGACCTGCACCACCAGGGACCTGTTGGGCCACCAGGGCTGGGGCTTGGCTTTTGCCAGCACCCACATGGCCTTGCAGAGCCCTGCTGAAACCCTGCATAGTTCCGCTCCCATGGCTGGAGACCCAATTTCAGCCAGCCCCTACCCTGATGTCCCTTTGCTGATGCTCTCCTTTGGTCTAACCTGCTCCTCTCCTACTGCACCAACCTCTACCTCAGTCCCTTGACAAGGTCCTCCCCAGTTTCCTGGGACTGAGCGGGTGTTTTCCAGCCCAGCCTGGGAGCGTGGCTGGAAAAGCCCAGTGTGGCAGGTGCTGGAGCGGCAGAGAGGGAAAACACAGCAGCCAGCCTAATGGGCAGGGAGGAAATATATGCAAATGCATTCAGAAAGGAATCTGGTGATGCTAATAGACTTGTTAGTCCTCTCGGTAAGAACCGGGAATAATATTTTTACACTTTAATCATTAGGGATTTTACTCCAAGCGAGCCCATAAGGACAGAGGGAGATGCAGAGGAGATGGCCATGGGTGACACTGGGGACAAAGAGGGAGGCAGGGGCACAAACAGGCAAGGGCATACAACCAAATTAGACCCACAGCCAGATGTGAGTTGCTTGGGAACGAGGTGACAAATTAAACCATCCATTTGGTTGTACTAAAGCACGTTTATAGGAGCAATTAGATCATGAATATCTGATGGCCCTGTCTCAATGCGGAGATTCCCCTGCTGCTGCCATGAGGCCTCCCTGTGTGACCACTGCTGTGAGGACAAGGTTTACCCCAGTCAGGCTGGTCACCCAGGGCTGTTTCTGAATATATTGAAACTTCATAATCATCACTACTAAGCTCTTCTCTTGTCAAATCTACAAACCCAGCAGCACCCGTGTGCTTCTTCCCCTCAACACGTGTATTGCATCATTTGTAATCCACTTGCAGGAATCCAGGATTAATATTTTCAGCAAAGTTTGCTCCAAACCAGCCTTTGAGAGGATAATTTCTTTCCTCCAGGGCTGGGCTCTGGGATTTGCACTGCTCCAGACAGGACATCCAAAGGCAGTGGCGCCTGTGGGGGTGGGCCATGAGGGAATAGCTGTCCATGATCCACTGTGGAAGTGGGGTGTTACATACAGCTGCAGCGGCCCAGTAATCCAGATCTCTCCCCACTTTTTTGTTTGTTCCAGGAGACAAGGTGGAGCACTATGGAGAAGGTGCTGGAGGTGGGATGGGGCTGGGAAGGGCAAAGGGCAGGAGGCTGGTGGCAGGGAGCAGAACAGAGGTTAATGCACCCATAATGAATGTCCCTGGAAAGCTGGCCCTCCAATGAGGGTGCATTCCTCAAGACCAGAGAACGGGGATCCGTTTCCCTCTGCCTTTTCCGTTGTAACAACACTTCCATGTGTAACTTGAGACAAGTTGGGGAAGGAAAAAAGAGGAAGGGAAAAAAAGGGAAAAGAGGAAAAATAGCGCAGTTATTCCCGCCTCCGCCGCCTCCTCCCTCTCCTCCCCGTCCAGCCAGAAGCCACGTCACCGTCACCCAGCCTGGCTTCAGGGCTGCTCGGCCAGCTCAGCCCAGGGCTCTCCACGGGACAAACCCCGGCTTTTGGCCTGGAGCAGAGTGAGGAAGGACCTGGAAGGGGGAGAGAGAAAATCCACCTTGGGGGAAGAAGTAAGCAAAAAGTAAGCAACGGAGGCATCTAGCTTGAGGGCCTGGCAGGGGAAGGGCACATGCAACCAGGGCACAGGGGAGGCTGAACTTATCTCTGCCAGGAGAGAGAGCTCCTTACTTGGGGGAAAGGAGAGCTGAGCTGGAGGAAAGCATTCCCTCGGTTGAGGCTACCTGCCTGCAGAAAGGGCCCTGCTCCCTTCACCCCAGAGGAGCCCCCCTGGCACCATGAACATCTTCCGCATCCTGGGGGATGTCTCCCACTTGTTGGCCATCATCATCCTCCTGATGAAGATCCTGAAGTCCAAGTCCTGCGCTGGTGAGTGCTTCCACACCGCAGGGAAGGAGGGTGGCTCTTCTTGGAGGGCGGCTTGGTGAAGAGTGCAAGTGAAATGAGTGCCAAAAAGGCTAGCAATAGCCCACACGAACTGGCAGCCTCCCTGGTGGGCTCTTCAAGGGATGTAATCCTTCTCCTCCTCTTCCTCTGGGAGTTCTCCCTGCCAGGAGGAGAGGGCTGTGTTGGAAGGATGTGATGTGGCAAGACACAGTCCCGGGCAGGTGTTGGTCCTGGGGTGGTGAAGCAAAGGAGAGGGCAGCAAGGCCAGAGGGAGCTGGCAAACGAGCACAAAAAGTGCTCAACAAACCCAACAACCTGGAGACAAAACTGCTTTAGGTTGGAGGAACTGCCAGTGGGTGGGCAGGTACCAGAAGCTGCCCCGTCCCTGAGCTAGGAAATCAGGGCAGCAGCTTTCCACAGTTAGATTTTGCTCAGAGTCGATGTTTTCCTCCTCAAAAGACATAGGGGCTGGGCTGCAGCATTGCCACCACTATCACAGGTAGGGAAATGGGTGGATCTGGCTCTATCTCCCTGCCAGCAGTGACTAAACTCCACCAGCATCCCTGTGCTGGTCCCTGATCCCGCAGCTCTTCCCTCATGTGGCAGATGTCACGTAACACAACCCCTGGCAAGGTGAAGGGGGCAAGGGAGGGAACAGAAAGGTGTTTTGATGACAGCAAGGACTGAACTGGCCAAAGCAGTGAATGGGCCCACCAAGTGCCTCTACCTACAACCCGAGGCAGGGCACAGGGGCATCAGCAGGAGGCTGCACTGTTACTTGGAAGACTCCAGCAGTCCTAGGTTGGGTCTAGAGCTACCGCAGCACCAACACTCCAGACCTGGCTCACAAAGCAACACACACGTATACTACCGCCTCCCAAGAAGGCCTACCCTAAGGGTCCTTCTTCTCATTTGCTTTATCTTCCCTTCTTCTCCATGCCATGCAGGTATCTCTGGGAAGAGTCAGATTCTTTTCGCCCTCGTCTTCACAACCCGCTACCTGGACCTGTTCACAACCTTCATCTCTGTCTATAACACTGTGATGAAGGTAAGGGAAGGGCAGTGCAGAAGCACAGGTTCCCCCCAGCTCACTGTGGTTGCTCAGGGAGGTGAGGGTACGCAGTCTCTAGGTCCGTTTTTCAGCCAGGAAGGGTGGATAAAGATACTTCCTTCTGTGTCTCTATCCCTCCATTGACCAAGAAACCCCCTCACCACAGCCAGTGAGCGATCTGAGCCCACCACACCTAGTGCCACCAAAACCAGACCAAGACACCATGAACCCAGCATTAACAGACGGCTGCCACCAAGCAAAACCTCCTTACACATAGCCCTAGAGGGCTCAAACAAGTGTGATCCTCATGGTGGGGCAATCTTTAGTTGGCCACTGGAGTATCTCCAGCAGATGTCAATCCACAAGCCAGCACAGGAAAAGCATTCACCACTATCTCACCCTGGCACAGCGCAACCAGAACCCAGTTAACAGATCTTGACTTGGGCAAGTCAAACCCATCCTCTCTTCAAGCACGGAGGTGCAATTGCAGGTGAGGTGGTGCCATCTCCCTTCACTTGACTCCCCAGGTCATTTTTCTGATATGTGCCTACGTCACCGTGTACATGATCTATGTGAAATTCCGGAAGACGTTTGACAGCGAGAACGACTCCTTTCGCCTGGAGTTCCTGCTGGTCCCGGTCACCGGCTTGTCATTTCTGGAGAACCACAGCTTCACACCCTTGGAGGTAAGGAAAACCTGAGGCAGGAAAGGGGAGGAGAAGCAGCAGCCTGATGCCAGGCAGCAGAGTGAGCAGCATGTTGAATAGTTGAGAGTTTTAAAAGCAAAAGCAGGCAGGAAAGGCAAAGTTGGCATGCCTTGAGGACTGCACTGTCTATAGCACAGCTCAGCGCTGTCTTCTCTCAGTCTCAGCACAGCAGGCTCATTTTCCCCCAACTCCAGCAGCGCTACTCATCCTGCTCACACATCATCGCTCTGCCAAATGAAAAGCGTAGGGTCTTAATGCACATTAACCAGTATCAAGTCTCTCCACTGCCTTCATTGTGCACCTCGCAGATACTCTGGACCTTCTCCATCTACCTGGAGTCCGTGGCTATCCTTCCTCAGCTCTTCATGATCAGCAAGACAGGGGAAGCAGAGACCATCACAACACACTACCTTTTCTTCCTGGGCCTCTACCGTGCTCTCTACATTGCCAACTGGGTCTGGCGCTACTACACGGAGAGTTTCTACGACCAGATCGCTGTAGTTTCTGGGGTGGTACAAACCATCTTCTACTGTGACTTCTTCTATCTCTACGTTACCAAAGGTAGGTAAATAGGTTGGTATTAAGCTGAAATGTTCACTTCGCACTCTTGCAACATACAGTGGAGCTGCAGCTTGCTTTGCATTAATCCTTAGGTGACTTTATTCTTTGCTGTATTTGTGATGCATATTCTCCACCTAAAATCCAGTTAAAAAAAAAATTATCTGTTGAATGCAAATAGGCATCTCTGCTCACAAGGCTCTAGACATGGCTGTGAAACAAAGCAGAAATTAAATCAGAGCTAAGCCTGGTTTAACCCCACCTTGGGAAACTCACAATTGAGGTATATTGAATTCTACGTTCATTTTGAGATTATGAATCAGGCAAGAAAACCTTTGAGGGTGAACAAAAAATAGCTGTAGGCAGACAATGTACCTGAGAAAGCAACTGCAGACATATGGAGATATTATTAAGCCTGCTTTTTCTTTTGATGGAAAAGACATAACATTCTCTAGAACTGATTCTGTAGGAAGACAGGCATCTGCACAGAGAAGACCTCTTACTCTGTTTCCCAAAATCAGATGCCCCTTCAACTTCAGCACCATGCTTTGGTAAATGGCTACGTACCAGAGCTAAAAGGGCAGTCAGGGCATCTGTCAGGCTGGTGGAACATGCTATAGTTTGCTGATGCTTTAAACCACTTTTCTGTTGAGGAGGATGGAATTTGACGAAATCTAGCTGAGGGAACAAATATTTTCTTCCTTTTTCACATTCCCGAACTAGTCTGCTAAAAGCAGTAGTGACAGCCATCAAGGGATGGATCTTTGGTAGCTTCATGCAACATACCTGCTGATAGAGAGGTGACAGGAGCACTGAGCAGGTGGCCAGCCTTGGCACATTAAGACTTCCTTCTGTCATTAAAACATTTTTGTAGCCAAAAAAGTACTTTGTAAAAGCATCATCAAGGTGCTCCACATCAGTTTGGGTTTTTTTATCCTTAAACTAATACCCATTTTAGCTTCATTCAATTCACATGTCCCGTGTGCTTCTATATTTTATGAGAAATCCATATCCTTTGTAGATGAGGGTGGTGGAATAAAAAGGGGGGAAAAAAACAACTGCTGGCTTTCAGTCTCACATTGCTAGTGACAGAGCTGCAAAATTTAGATGATATAGGAGGTAGAAAAAGAAACATTTGTCCCTGGGATATCACAGCAGGAAGAGAATTGGCTTGGTGTTTTTTTTTCCTTTTACACAAATGTTCTGGATCATGGGAGAGAAAAGGTGTCTGAAGATACGCAAATGCTTTGCAGTCATTTATGAAAACCACCAATATTATAGCAGGTTGCATCTCTCTTACACTCTTGCAAAAAAAAACCCCCATCTTTTCAAAACATTTCTAGTACTGAAGAGCTCAGACAAAAGGGCAGTGATGCTGCAAAAAAAAGCAAAGGTGTGTTATATAAGTGTATTTAAAAAGACTTCACAGCCTATACCAAAGCATTGCTAAAGGATTTTTATAGAATGTAACTTGTCTTTATCTTGTTTTCAAAACTGAATGAGCTCCTTTCTGTCTAACACAAAGATCTGAAAGATATTCCGAGAAAGATTTCAGCTCCCAAAAGCTTGTATTTCATACAACGGCTGAGGTTGGGAGCAATGGGGGGGATCATCTCATCCACCCTGCTGCTCCCAGCAGGTCGTTCAAGGTCCTATTGCCATTTGCCTTGTCAATGGGTACCACTAAGCAAAGTCTGGATCTCCTTTACTCCTCCCATCAGACATTTATTCACACAGGTAAGATCCCCCTCAGCCTTCTTCAGTCTGAGCAATCTCAGCCTGCACTCTTGCATTGGATGCTCTAGTCCCTTAACCACCCTCGTGGTCTTTCTGGACTTGTTCCAGTATGCCTGTATCTCTTGTTCTGGGAAGCCAGAGTTGGACCTGTTACTCCAGGTCTGGCCTTACCATGGCTGAGGACAGAGGAAGGATCACTTCCCTTGACCTGCCAGGGATGCAGCTTGGGAGGCTGTTTGCATTCTTTACTCCATTGGTGGCTTGTGTTCAACTTGGTGTCCACCAGCACACCCAGGGCTTTTCTGCCAAGCTGCTTTCCAGCTGGGCAGCCCCAGCTGCTACTTCCTGCTGTTAGGCACCACCAGCAGATCACTGCAGGCATACTCTGCCCTTCCCTCTGGCACCCAAAGAAGCCCTTGAGCAGTATTGGCCCTAGTGCCCAGCCCTGGGGTACACCACGACGACACCAACAGCTGGACTCTGTGTCGCTGACCACCATGCAGCCCAAGACAGCCACTTCTGCATACATCTCACCCAGGCCTACAGGCCCTGGTATTTACAAAAGGCCTCCCTCCCATCACAATTCCCAGCTCAGGGAGGGGCAAGCTCAGGGAGGGGTCCAGCCACAGACCATTTATTCAGACCTATTCTCCATTAAAAGGAGGGGGAAGCACTGGGGATAGAACAGTAGACTCCATACTCATCATTAAGAAAAATATCAGGAAATTAAGAGACATGAGAAGGAGTAACCATGGAAAAGGAAAGCTTTTTCTTTAGCATAAATAGGTTGTGAATTTCCCCCTTGGAAGCAAATTTGTAGTGTGCCTTCTAGCACGGATCACGAATTCTCCCGTTCTAAGGATTCCCTACTTTTACCCTTCTTGCTAAATTCTCTTAGATGCTCCTTCCACAATGAATTGGATTCTCTGCAGCTGTTAGCGAAATCATGACTGAGGAAAGCTGTGCTACCCAAATCCTCCTGGCCTGCAGCAGCACATGGAGGGGTCCCAAGAAGGTTAATTCGAGACCCATAATCTCATCGCTGTTTTCAACCTGTCAGCCAACTATCTAACACTCTAAATAGCAAGTTAAAAAAATACTATTGAAACAATCAGTTGAATTTCCCCAAGTTCCTTCATTACCTTCTCTTTCTCTTTCCATAGTCCTAAAGGGAAAGAAGTTAAGTCTTCCCATGCCTGTTTGAAGACACTTCCACGAACAACGCAAGAAAACCTGCAGATGAAGCTGTCAAGATCACAGCTTTCCTTTCCTGGCTCTTTCTGACCATCTGGATGGCTCAGCTGAGTTTCAAGCCAGTGCCAGGAAGACAACAAAGCCTGAAGAGCTAATATGCTTTTCATCCATATAAGACTTTTCTCAATTTTTAATTTCTTCTTACTTGAATTTGGTGCTAATAAGTCATGCTGGCCAACACTGAAGTAGTGCAAATTATTCTCTCCCTGCTCTTCCCAGCACCTATCTCCAAAACACACCCCTACCTTCACCCTCAGGCAGCACATGGAGCAGAAGGGAATTGTTGCTACCTTTAGTCCTTCAGTCCTTTACTGAGCACCTATGGAAAAGGGAACATGGTGCTATTAAGTCTGATAACATATACAAAGGCCACTGGTGCATGTCACACGTGGCATAGCTGACATAGCAGATGCTACAAGCTGTTACTTTAACTCTGTGTGGACTAACATCCTCCTGAAAGCTAACTGCCTGACCCTCATTCTGCTCAGGTCCTGTAACATTCAGGCTAAACGTACCTGCTTTGAATACCATGAATGTTCTGATTCTCCAAGTATTCAAACATTCTCCTCGCTCACTCACACTGACAGTTCCTTGTGTTGTACAAATGGGGACCATGGCAATTAAAATCCAGTGGGTTACCAACAGGTGTTTCCAACTCCTTGAATTTGACTTTAAGAACTGGGAGGAAGTGGGGCAAAGATGGCTTTACACTCCAAAAATAAAGACAAAGTTCACAATTTATTGACAACAGTGTTTTTATTTATACCTACAAAAGAAAACAAGATGGTATCAAAAGGACAATTTACAAACTAAGAATAGTAACATAGCTCTTAGTATCCTGTGTCTGAACACCACAGATCTATGAATCTCTCAATTCAAGTCTTCGTTAATACAACAGGAATGTGTTCAGAGACCAGCAGGTGTGTGAAACAAGATGCTGATCCCACACAAAGCCACTAACCCTTCCATTGTTCAGAGAAGTCCAAACAGTAAACTGCTTCAGGAAGTGGGAGGGGGAGGAGACACCCAACTCATTTGACACTCCCACAAATTTTTACAGATTGAAAACAATGCCAACAATACTAGATGCTAATGCTTTTATCAGCAAGGGCCCTCCAGCTGGTATATGGAACAGAGCAGCGAGCACCAGGTGGGACAGGGGCAGCACATGCCATGGTGCATTTATGCATTCAACAGTCTGGTTAACACTCTGAATTGAACTGAGACCCTGGACTACAGCTGACCTTCGATGGCAATGAAGCACTGCAAGACTTGGCATAGATGTTTACATCAGCACAAGTCCGCCCAAAAGAAGTGAAAGCTGTAGCAGACTATAAGGCAGCTTTGGTGGTCCAGAGACCCTTTTTAAAGCCAGTGAGTGAGATGTCCTACTCCTCCAACCCTCTAACACATTTCTGCACTGAACTCACAGGTTTTAAATATAAAGCAAAAAAACACAAACCAAAACCCCCAAACCTCTACATTTGCTTGTGAGGGAGGCCAAAGACCAAATCAGTCATCACCTGGATAAACTAAATGTTTCTGGCTTTCACTTAACACAAGCAAAGAAACTTCCTGCCCAAACAGTGGAATTAGAAGATGGGAATCAAGGGTCTGGAAGATCTCTTTTCCCTCTGTGTCCGCAACCTACCTGTGTACTGCACAAAAGAAAACACACACAAAGAAAAAAAAAAAAGCGCATTCATCCCCCAAAATTTTACTCTGGGAAGAAATTAAATTAGAAAAGAAATTAGTTCTGTATAAGCAAACTCTCTTCCTGGGCTATAAGAAGTTTCACTCTACTACAGGAGTAGGCTGCCTTGTTCATACATAGGCAAGAAAGCCAACAAAAAAGGCCCCAAACCTCTGCACTCTTATAATGCAAAGAGTATGCCTCACAAAGCAGTAGATGTATCCATTCTTTTGTCATATTATCAGATCAAGAGCAGCCAACTCCTGTTATCATCCACTGTCTCTGAACCGTGTGGTATTAGAAATAACAAGTCAACAACATGCTTTACTAAAGGGGAAACCCCCTCACACCCACCTTAGCCTGTAAAATAAACAAGTTTTATTTATGTATTTACTAAAATTTCACTCTTCTCTAACATTTCTAAAATGCTACCTACCTGCGAGAGCTCAGCCCAAAGGGACCAATGGAGCAGGGAAATGCACTCAAAAGCCAGAAAAAGCAATAGTCAGAGCAAAGTACAAAAGAAATCAAGCTTCAGAATCAATATGCACTAACCAGCTCACCGCTTACCTCATGAAAAGGAGATTCCAAGGCAATCTCCTCCTCCTCCCTTCCTTTTTTCCCTCCCAGCCCACCCTATGCAAACCTCTTAAATTTAAATGTGGAAAACTCTGTCACAATTTATCTGGTGTAGTGGCATTCGGAACATTCCCCAAGGTATGTTTGTTCGTGAACGACGGACAAACAAGAAATGCCGTTTATCATCTTGGTTCTGTTTAGTTTCTGGGCTCTCAAATAAGACTTCTCCATAAACCCAACTACAAGAATCTGAAAGCAGAAACCAATGTGAGGATCATGAGACTCCATGTGTTTTCCATGCTGAAA